AAATCCTTACAGCAAGAATCATTCCCACCCCCTCCACACACAGAGTAGACAGGGATGGGCAACTTGGACACTGGCTACCCAAAATGGGTGTGTGTGTGTGGGGGGGGGGACGACTACAAAGGCAAGAAGCGACTAGTTTACAAGCTTTCAAGAGGGAACCTAGAGCCAGGGGGCCTGGAGGAAGGCAGAATCTCCAGTGAGTAGTATCCAATCTGTCTAGGTAGAGCTGATGAAATGAAATGCAGATGGGTCTCTTGTGATACAATAGTGAATAATTGTTATCAGGATTGATTGTGAGGGTTGGAAATGTAAAGGTAGATGTTTAATAGCAAGGAAGGGAGTGATTAACTTCCAGTCTAGGAGCGGAGGTCCCTGGAACCATCAACGGAGAAGAGCTGAGAGCGGGACCCTACCCAGAGAAGCAGTGATGCCTGAGATGGAGGCAGAAAGGAGCGATGGAGCAGCTGGGGACTTTAGATCCAGAGAGGGTGAAATGGAGTAGGTGAAGGATCAGAGCAACGCTCTCACCACAGATGTCTGACCGATCCTCGGAGAAAAAGATATGGACATTCTTTTTTTTTTCTTCTCTGTTCATTGGTCTCTCACTGTCTGCGTGCTTCCATTCTGGTGACTAGAGGGGGCGCCTGAGTGAGTGGACACTCCCCCCGTCCCAGAGGGTTCTACTACACATGTACACAGATCTGCTCAGCAGAATCTAAGGGGAAAGGTTCTGCTTAAAACCAAACAGCAGTGCAAAATGGATACAGCCGGCCCTAATCTGTTAATCACTAGGAAAATGGCCTGAAAATAGGGGTTGTGGAGTGGGAGAGACACAGACTAAAAAGGAAACAGGCCGAAAATTAAATCTTGAGTTACATCATAACAACCAACAGTGGCATCTTGAAATTTCTCTGGCAGCTTTGAAGGCAAGAAGCCAAGAGATGGGCATTAAAGTCATATTCATATTTTGCTACTCACACTTTTCTGTGATTATAGACTATAGTATCCAGTGTGGTGTTTGTTTGTTTTTTTGCTGTTGCTGTTTTGTTTTTTGGTCCCCTTTTTACTTTTTACCCAAGAAGACAGCAATTATGGTCAAACAGTCAAGCTACAATCACACCCTGTAAGATCCTACCAGATAGGCAGGCAACACCTGCTATCTGAGTTAAGTAATAAAAAAATTGAAAAGGGAAGCCCATCTCCTGATCACATCTACCTACAGGCAATCAGAAAGCATAATAAAATATCAACATACATTCACCTAATTGTTGAAATCACAGTTAACTATTGAAGATGCCCAAGAAACAGCTGACCATATAGGCAGGTGTCCAGAAACAAGACAGAGTGAGACAAATGAGCAGGAGGTAGACCTAGACATCACATTGGAAGTAGGGCAGGCTTTGGAAATGCCTGAGAAGGAATTCAGGAAAATGATACCGACATGCATACAAATAGTCCACAGAGGGTTTGAGAAAAATAAGGAAGAAGTCAGGAAAGCGCTACAGGAACAATCAAATAAGACAGATACAGAAATGGAAACAATTCAAAACCTGAAAAAATAAATTTTACAGCTAGAGTATGGATAATTTTTTACTCACCCTCATATAAAGTCTCTAGCACTGTGCTTTCCTTGCTGTTTGATTGTTTCCATTTCATACTTAAAAGAGATAACACATAGCTCAGAACTGAACAGACCTGCTGATTGAACCTTTTTTTTTTTTTTGAGACAATGTAGCATCTTGATTTAAAAGGTGTCCTACTGCCACTATGATTATCTTTATATCCACAAGTTAATTAGACAAAGTAGAAGATAATGTCCATAAGAATATTAAAACATAATTTTATGCATGACTTTAGTATGTTGTAACTAGACCATACTAACTCTGACAGTTTAAGAAGAGTCAGTCTCCATTAGAATCCATTTTCAAAATGAAGCATCTACTAAATTCTGCATAAAAAACAAGAAATTCATGGGAGAGAACCAATGCAGCACAAGTACTTTAAACTTGGAGTTATGTACAATCACAGAGATTCTAGATTTTTAATATAAATAATATTTTAAATGAGGAAGTGTGATTGGGAGTATGACTAGTCTAGTGACTGGGAGAAAACTGAGCCACGGACTAATTAAAAATAAATAACTAAGACCGAAAGTTTTGTAAGAGGCAGAAAGAAATAATGAAAACACCTTGGCATGAAATAGTCCTGAAATCAAATCCTGACTTTGTCATCTCTTATCGTAGGTAGCCTTCAAATAACAACTAGGGTCCATAGGTTCATGCTAATTCCACTAAATTCTCAACAGAATGAACTGGTGTGAAGCTCTGATAATAGCTCGCTGGCTCTGATTTTTCTCCTCTGTAGAATGAAGATCATAACATTTACCTCAAAACAAACTGGAAGAATCAAACAAGATACTATGTATGAGGTATCTAGCACAGTGCCTACCTTAAACACAGGTGCTCAGCAAACATTAGTTCCCTCCTATAAGGAGCTCTCTGATAGTGCAGTTTGTTAAGCATTGGGCCGATAACTGAAAGGTCAGTGATTCAAACCCACCAGCAACCCTATTGGGGAAAAATGAGGTTGTCTGCTTCCATAAAGACTTACTGGCATCTCAGAAACCTTAAGGAGCAGTTATATTTTGTCCGATAGGGTCACTATGAGTTGGAACTGACTTGGTGGCAGAGGAGTTGATTTTCAAGTTTTGAATTCCTTCCAATACTACTTTTATCAGCAGGTATTAAAAACAAAACCAATCCAAACTAAATCATGGTCATAGAGTTGATTTTGACTCACAGTGACCCGACAGGACAAAGTCCAACTGTCCCAAAGGGTTTTTCCAAGGCTGCAAATCTTTTTTAAGAAAGTAGACTACCACATTTTTTTCCTGCGGTATCATATAAAGGTTTGGAAACTGCTAAACTTCATTTCCTCATGTCTGAATTCACTTTAACAGTTTATTTTATAAGCAGACTCTCTAATATAAAAGGTAACTACACAGGCTTGAAGTGCAGTGAACAACCTGAGCTGGATCAGTGTGGAGGTTTGGTTCTCAGGTCATGCCTAGATAAACTGATCCAGCACATAATGCAGTGTGCATGGCCCAAAACAGCCAGGAACTAGAAAGCAGTGAAAAGGAAAAAGGATTACTTGAGCTTCGGCTCCCGTCCTTCGGTTGTGTATTGCCAACAGATGAGCCCGATCAGGTCTTGCACCCTGGCGCTGGCCATTGTCACCACGGTCATTGGCAGCAGTCTGTCCTGGCTTGAGTGCAGAGGGAGGTAGACGTCGATCTTCTTTGTTGCTGTTGTGCCTACATGGCCCTGCAGAAAGAGCATACACACAGAGTAAAGAACACATGAAGTCATGTACACCCTATTGGAGTACAACCATTTGTCTACAAGTTCTATGTTTAGCACAGCCATTTCCATTCTTTCTGCAAAGACCTGCATATACGCCTGGTACGGTCCCAAAGAGAAAACACTGTCTAGTTTCAGGGGGTTTTTTTGGTTGCTGCTGTTTTTCTTTAACTTTTATTTTCTGATAGCCGAACAGATCTTGCTCAGCCAGCAGGAAGGTAAATTGAGCACTATAAATGAAAAGTTCAAATTAGAGTGGAAAGCACAGCCACTGTTTGGAATTAGGAGACTTGCTTTGCTACTAGCTCACACAGTGTGACCTTGAAAAAGTCACCATGAGACCTCGGCATCAGCTGCCTTCTCTGAAAGCTTCCATTTCAGGCTTCTGTGAGACTTTGGGATAAGCTGCTGGAAAGTTGCCATACTCTCTGGGGGAGTATTCAGGTCTGCAGCACTGGAATCAAGTGCTCGCCTTCTGAGGGACTATTAGGGCTAATTCTATGATATAGTACATCTGTTTACTTAAGTCATTTGCACAAGTTCAAACTTCTGTAGTCTTTTGTTATTGCTCTGCCATTGCCACGCTGCTCTATATATCCCTGACCTTTCCCACCTATCTACCCTCTCCTTACTCCCAAAACTTCCATACTGCCATCTGGAATTCCTGCATAAATCAAGCAACTTTCATAAATCCTCAGTTTCTTTTTTGAAACATTCCGTCACCTCTTTACATTAACTGAAACCCTGCTGGTTGCTGAGGATACTGTTTCGAATGTGGTCTGTTAAAAAGATGGCTGTTTTCCTTATTTGTTCCAGAGCCCCAAATCCCCAAGGCCAGGAGGTGGTGTAGGTATATATGGTCCCAATAGTACTTCCAGACCATAACTCTCCTCTCATGCAAAAGGTTTCTGTATCTTTGAAGCCCAAGCCATGCAATTACACTACCTTCTCCCTTTCCTTTTTGTTTCTACCACCTACTTTCTTGGTCATTCTCCTTCCATCACAGAAGATCTGAGCATCTGGCTCAGTCTTCCCATCTCAACACTTGTCATCAATCTGCCCAGCACCCAATTCTCTTAATTCCTAGACTATGTAATGTTAAACTACGGTATTTTCAATAACCTCATATGCATGTGAAAGTTGGACAATGAATAAGGAAGACTGTAGAAGAATCGATGCATTTGAGTTAGGGCGTAGGAGGAGAATATTAAAGGTATCATGGGCTGCCAAAAGAACAAACAAATCGTGTCAGAATGCTCCTTAGAAGCCAAGATGGACAGACTTTGTCTCTCACACTTCAGATATATTATCAGGAGGTACCTACCAGTCCCTTTAGAAGGACATCATGCTTGGTAAAGTGGAAGGTCAGTGAAAAATGGAGACCCCCAACAAGATGGATTGGCACAGTGACAACAGCAATGGGCTCAAGCATAGCAGTCAATTGTGAGGACAGTGCAGGACAAGGTGATGTTTCGTTCTGTTGTACATAGGGTCACTATGGATAAGAACAGACTCCATGGCATCTAGCAATAAAAATAATGTCATCTCTAATGCTTTTCATCCTCACCACCTTATTCACTTATTACAGTAGGTATAACATGGATGTGTACCAACCCCCAAGTAACAGATTAGGACACCCCTTCACTTAATGTATTCTAATATACTTTAACTCATTTCCAATTCTTTACCATCCACTGCACTGACCTCCACCTTTTTCTTATCCATCAGTCACTCCTATTCCCTACTCAATCACCCATAATCCATGGTCAATCATTATAATCAGACTTTTGCAAATATGAATTTTCTTTCTCCCTTGGGCTCAACTTGAAGAATCCCAATTGGGGCTGAACTCAACTCTGCATTCCCCAGCTAAAAATTACTAGAGAAAAATCATATTGCACAGATAGATTTTACTTTAAACTCATGATGACAAACCTCAAATAGACATTCAAGACTGTGTAACAACCCTATTACATCTCTTTATCCAACCACTTCCCAAGCCTACCCAGGATCACTATTGCATATTTTTGTTTCCTCAAAATTCCCATAGCCCTTTGACCTATGACCTGTGAACAATGAAAAAATATTTTTACTCTGCTGTAAGAAAGGAAAAGCTATTCGAAAGAAAGTTATTGTCCCATCATCAAATTCACTAACTTACATGGACTTTATCCACTTTCTCCCTCCTTGTTCAGAAAGTGTTGCTGCTCATTTCATTAAAGGTCAGTCCTTCCACTTGTGTTATGTACCACCTTAACAATGTCTTTACTTTTTCACTATTTGCCCTTTCTCCTGGATTATCAACCTCACCCTATTCTGCTTCCAGGACACCACACACTCTATTTTTCCTCTTCCTTCCGTGATTCCTCCTTCTCAGTCTTCCTAATAGGTTCCCCTTCTCTACCCAATTTCTAATTGTTAACATTTTTCAGGGCTCTAGGTTGAAATCTCTTCTGTTTGTTTCTCTGTCTATGCTCTTTCCCCCAGGTAATCTCACTAGTCCCAAATCGTTGACACACAAACCTAAAACTTCTCCCTGGAATTCCGAACTCACACATCATACAGACTGTGTAATATGGAGAAAAGTGTCACAGACAAACTTAGGTTCTAACCTGAACTTTTGACTATCCCTCACTTGTTCCCATTCCAAATTACAACAGCCTTCCTCATTTCACTAAATGCTACCACTAACCCAGTTGCTTAAACCAATAATCTTAATTACTCTTCCTCTACCATATCACCTTATGCACATCATTGGTAAGTTATAGTGTATCTACTTAAATATATATATATATTTAAGTGGGGAAGGAAGCATTTTATCAACAAATGGTGCTATGACAGCTGAACTGCCACACGCAAAGGAATGAATGAATATAGACTCCTATACCGCACACAAAAATTAACTCAAAATGGATCAAAGACCTAAATGTTACATATTAAACTCAACACTAAGAGGGAAGCATAGGCATAATCTTCATGACCATGGATTAGGGAAATGATTTGTTTTATATGATACCCTATAATTAGGTGGTAGTGGTGGTTTATGTGATGTGGAGTTGGAACCGACTCATAGCGACCCTTTACAGGGTTTCCGAGGCTGTAAATCTTTATGGGAGCAGAAAGCCTCATCTTTCTCCTGCGGAACAGCTGGTAGTTTCAAACTGCTGACCTTAAGGTTTGCAGCCCGATTTGTAACCACTGCGCTACCAGAGCTCCTTTATAATTAGGTAATGGTTTGTTTTATATGACACCAAAAGCACAAGCAAAGTAAGAAAAATCAAATAAACAGAACTTCATCAAACTTAAAAGCTTTGTGTGTCAAAGGACAATACCAAGAAAGTAAAAAAGACAATACACGAAAATATTTGCAAATCATGTATTTGAAAAGGATATAGTACCCAGATACATAAAGAACACTTACAACTAAATAAAAAGGCAAATAACTCAATTTAAAAATGGGCAAGAGATTTGAAGAAACATTTCTACAAAGTAGATACAAAAATGGCCAATAAGCTTATGAACTTCTATGTTGTTCTTGTTAAATGTCATCAAGCCAGTTCTGACTCACAGTGACTCTTGTATAGGGTTTCTGAAGAGCAGCTAGTGACTTTGAACAATCCAGTACTTATCCTACAATGCACACCAGGACTCCTATGTTGTTTAGGTGCCATTGAGTTGGTAGCGACTCATAGTGACCCTATACACAACTTAACGAAACACTGCCCTTTCCTGGGCCAACCTCACAATTGTTGCCACACTTGAGCCCATTGATGCTGCCACTTTGCCAATCCATCTCACTGGGGATCTTCCTCTTCTTCTCTGACTTTTGACCTTACCAAACATGATATCCTTCTCCAGCGACTGGTCCCACCTGACAATATGTCTGAAGTATGAGAGATGAAGTTTGGCCATCCTGGCCTCCAAGGAGCACTCTGGCTGCCTTTTTTTTTTTTTATCTGACACAGATCTGTTTGTCTTTGGAAGTCCATGGCACTTTCAATATTCTCCTACAACACCATAACTCAACTGCATCAATTCTTCTACAGTCTTCCCTATTCACTGTTCAGCTTTCGCATGCATATGGGGTTAAGAGGAGGGCATAATGGCTATATTGTTTACTTTTGTATACATAATGCCTAGCACTGTGCCTGGCATACAGGAAGCTCGTTAAAAAAACAAAACAGACAAAAACTGAAATATAGAATGAATACATGAATGATTCTACCAGGAAAAGTGATGGTTGGCTGTGTGTCTCCAAGTCGGCTCTGGCTTATAACAATTGTATAGTATGTCCAAGGCTGTAAATCTATACAGAATAAAAAAAAACCTCATCTTTCTCCCATGGAGTGGCTGGTGAATCCAAACTGCTGACCTTGTGGTTAGCAGCCCAATGCAAAATCCAAACAACATGGGCTCCTGGACAAGTGATAGGAACTCAAGAAACAGTAGTTGCCTCCATTCTTCTTTCCCTTACCCTATGGGTCTGTTTCCTGGTGTGGAGAAACAAAGACTTGAACAATCATGTGATTCCATCACAGATGAGTGGTGGTTTCATGCACGGGAGATTGGAAATTTATTATGTTTACAGTAACTTTAAGGAAAGAAGGCAATGATGTCTATAATATGAATTTCAGAATCAGATAGATACAGATTTTAGTCCTCGTTCTTCCATCTGGGTTATGGATGCTGCAGCAGATGACTGTAGCTTTGTTAATATTCACCTTTGGCTACCATAGTTGAGTAATACAAATGGGGTTGATTTTAAGTACCAATCTCCAGTGCTTGAAAATACTACTCATCTGTCGGTCTGTCGTACTGTGATAACCTGTGCATTACTGTGATGCTAGACGCGATGCCACTTGAATTTTAAATACTAGCAGAGTCACTTTATATGACAGGCTTCAATGGAGCTTCCAGACAAAGACAGAACGGATAAAGGTGAGAGAAACCAATACTGAAACGTT